CGAGCATAAGAGATATTAGCATAAGGCGGGAGCCGGCGAACCTGGCGCCTCGCCTCAGGAAAAGATAAACGCTCCCGGTGCTTCAAGTTGAGGACGGCTGCCTCAAGCTTGTAATGGACACACGCACGGGAGAAGGTAGGATGGGCCTCACCGCAGTTGAGGCAACGAGCCTGGGGAGAAGCGCACTCCGACTTAGAGTGACCTTCGCCACCACACAAAGGACAGAGAGAGACAGTCCCGGAGCAGCGGAGGGCACCATGCCCAAACCTCCAGCACTTGTTGCAGAGCCGAGGAGAAGGAATGTACTCCCGGACAGAGCACCTGGCACCAGCAAGAATGACAGAGGGTGGAAGGGTCCTACCATCAAAGGTAATCTTCACAACCCGGAGGGGTTGACGGCGACTACCACGAGGGGGACGAGTAAACGTGTCCACCTGGAGAATAGAATGGCCCTGGGCAGCGAGGATATGTCGAATATCGTCGTGGCAGTCGCGTAGGTCCCGAACACCGGTCGCAACATGGGGCGGGAGCAAAATAGTGCCAACACTGGCATTCAACTGGACGTTCTTCGAGACCCGAACGGGGGTCTCGCCAAGGCAGGATAAGGCAGCCAAGCGGGAAGCAGCATCCTGAGAAGGAGCAGCAACGACACGCGTACCGAGACGAGTGGGGTTAAAAGTAATGGAGGCATCCACGGAATCAATGAGATGTCGATGAAGGGAGAAATCGTCAGGAGGCGCAGAATCAAGAGGGAGGAGATCAAAATATTTGGCCCACGAAGCGGGACCAAACAAGGCTTGATAGGTAGCAGAACTGGAAGGAATCGAGCGAGGGCGGCGGTGAGAACCCCCAGAGAGAGAGGGGTTAAAAGGCGCAGTAGTAACAACTAGAGAAGGAGCCGCGCCAGGGGACGAGGTAGTCACCACTGGGGGCTTGGGGCTCGACCCAACCACAGAGGAGGGAGGGGAGCCAGGGGAAGGAGTCAGAGAGGCCAAAGGAGGAGCAAGGTCGGGGCCCAATGCAGCGGAGGCTACAGAGCCCGGTCTTCCAATACGGACCGACTCGGGGGCTTGGTCGCCCACCCCACGAGCCTGAAAAGGTAAGCCAGAAGCAGCCGAAACAGGGGTTATCATCTTGACGAAATTACGAATTCACTCACGAATGTGCCCCCACACCCACCATGGAGCCACAATTAGAGGCAGGACACCCAACAAGAAGCTATCGCCGATCTTGTCGGGGCCTCCTAGAGGTGCGTCGTGAGTATACGCCCCACAAACGCCACCTTAAGAAACCGACAGTCCGTCGAGATCGGGTTCAGTGACGAAGTGGGGATTGACAATAAAAGGTTCCCCTCGCTCTCGACGTCGGGTACTGCAGTTCTACGGGTGCAAGAGTATGCCTCCTCAAGCACCCGGGCGTCAAAGTAGAAGAAGTCCAAGGGAAGAACCAGAACGAGCAAAAGGTCGGCAGGAAACGGCAAGCAGATAGGAGAAGAGGGGGGAGAAAAACGAAACAGAAGGAAAAGGAAAAGATGCCCAGCAGAATTGGAGAGGACGGCAGCAGGAGCACAAGGCTAGAAAAGGACAGAGGACTGTCCCAAGGAGCATCACACTCCGGCAGCCGCCCACTAAGCCCCCAGACTGCGACAACGAGCTGAGCGGGGAGGGGGTTTCACAAGCAAACAAATATATAAATGGTATTAAATTCTATGCAATAAATTTCATGCCATTTTGTTCTTAAATAATTGTAAAAGGTTTTCCAAGAACATCACAGTGTACAAATTAGGAAAGAAGAAGGATTAGGTAAAATAATTATACAGATTTATTTCATATCTTGACATCCCTATTTACAAATGTAAAAACACTTTACAAACTTCAACATGTTAATCACTGAACTTTGTGCACAATTAGGCTACGCAAAATGACCAGTGGTGCCTATTGCATTATTTAGGTCTTGTACATACATTCTTTACAGCATGGACATGGAACTCTTGCCAAAATGCAGAGAGAACTGGCACAAAGATTATGCCACTGGTGTTGAAAAGGCCAGCACAACTGGTTACAGTAGATCATGTCTCCATTACTGTATACAAAGTGAAAACTTTGGGGCTATACCTACTTCTAGGATTTAAGATACTCGAGTAGTTACTTTGTGCAATCAAGTTACATTTTGATGCCCTTGAATCATACAACAAAAGGCAAATTGTTTTATTTTCAGACTGTGCACAACTGTTGTCAACACTAACCAACAGTGACATTTGGCAAGAATTCTTAGTTCATTTTCTATTAGTTTCAATGCCAAAAAATTATAAATTGGATGGAACTTTACCTTTTCTCCCCCCCATTTGAAACTACAGTACTTACACCAATGCTCAATGTCCATAGCCTATAAGGTGTGTAACTCCTCTACAGCTTCACAAAGGGATAAGAACTTTAGCCTTTTTTTTTTTTGTTACAAGGTTTAAACCCCATTATCTGGGAAAACAGGCATTACACACAAAGTAGCACCTATCAAATTTCTAATTACCAATTAAATTCCAGTACACAACATCAGAAGCATGGAAATAACCATCTTCCTTATTTTAAAGAAACACTACATCACACCGAATTATTTACACTTTCCTATATGAATGGGAAAGTGTGAAAATTTATTCCAAAATATTTTGGTTAGGCTAACGGTGATTTTTTGCACTTAAATGCTGGCAACCCCCTGCCCCCATAAGCACACAAAATGTTTGAAGAATTCTACGTGGTGTGGCTATTACTCTAGTGAAGCAATCATGTGCTTGTACTGAATGTGAGAGGACTGCCCTATCAACTGTCAAACATGTGAGGTATGTCAGACTGCAAGAGAAAATATTAATCATAGATCAAAGGGTTAAATTTGAAAAGGTGTAGATTACAAAAATGTAGTCTGGAGTGAACAAGGCTAAAAAATAAAAAGCATTAGTGGAAGAAATGACATTCCCTTCACTTTACCACAAGTTCTTTCCTTGGTGATTAAGGCCAACTAATCCACTACCTTGTGTAGACTATCAGTATTATTTTCAAATGTCAAACCAGTAATATTTCTTTTCCTTTCATGAAATCTGTGCAAAACCACCACAGAAAGTGTTGTACATAATATTACGAACATTTTCATGCTATAAGCCAACTTTGTGAAATCTTTAATACAGCAAAACTGAAGATTATGCACATCTTACAGTAAACAAAATATGTGTTAGCACAAACTCATTTAATTGAAACAATATACGTAGACAAGTATTTATAACAAGTATTGTCCTTAAATCAAATTTCAGTTTTGTCACTTCCAAATATTTTGAAAACAATGTAACTTGGGACAATAGGAGTATGTAATCAAATGGGTCACAAGAACTAGTTACTACCAATATTTCATATTACTGTACATGTGGGAAGCTGGGTTCTGAGGACATTTGGTCACATACCATTACCAATCACGTACAAAACTCGCACTTTGAGAATTTCTTTAAAGGTACTACACATCACTAGGGAGGCGAAGAACTCGCAAGAACTCTAGGAAAGAGCTCTTAACACCTCGGTTGCACCTTAATAAAATTGTGCACTTGACTTTGACAAAGTTTTAGCCTAAATGTTTTACTTTATATATTTATTTATTTATAGTATACTAAAATAACTAAGCCAAGTACCTTTAGAGTACAACATTATTTTCAAAGGCAACACATTCTATTATTGGAAAGGTGAAAGATAATGAAGTTTTATTTAATCTGAATCTGCTAATAATGAATAATAATTTACAGATTGTTGAAGACAGATCACCATATTTGGTTACAAACAAGAACATAAAATCTATGCTGCATTACAAAATATCTGAAATGTCTCCTCCCCTCAAAATCAATGTCAATAATTACTAGTTTTCTTGCTACATTAGTGAGCAGTATGTGTGTATATCCATTATACACATGAATATATACATACAATCACATAAGATGCTCCAAAACATTAATCCATAGTTAAAGCCATTTTACTTGTCACTATCTTACATCATCCAATAGGTATCATTAACCTTGGCAGCATATATAAAACATTATGTACAAGGAATATTTTCACTATTAACATTTACCGTAAAGCAACTCAAAAACAACAACAATTGAACATGCAATGATTTTTCCATGAATACTTAGTTTTTTGGATGTATTGAAGTGGCAGATGAAACCAGACAAATCCATCCGAGAAAAAAGTTTACCTTACAATATAGCTAATTAGCACTGTAGTAATAATAGTAATAATATTAATGAAAATAATAATATGGAAGCATGTAATCATAGAACAAGATATGTTATAAATACCCATGACAGTTTACAAACACTAATGTACCATTAAAAATCCCCAGTTAAAAGTGCAAAATGACAAGAGAATACCAAGGCCCTCTGCACACTTTGTGTGTGTGTGTGTGTGTGTGTGTGTGTGTGTGTGTGTGTGTGTGTGTGTGTGTGTGTGTGTGTGTGTGTGTGTGTGTGTGTGTGTGTGTGTGTGTGTGTGTGTGTGTGTGTGTGTGTGTGTGTGTGTGTGTGTGTGTGTGTGTGTGTGTGTGTGTGTGTGTGTGTGTGTGTGTGTGTGTGTGTGTGTGTGTGTGTGTGTGTGTGTGTGTGTGTGTGTGTGTGTGTGTGTGTGTGTGTGTGTGTGTGTGTGTGTGTGTGTGTGTGTGTGTGTGTGTGTGTGTGTGTGTGTGTGTGTGTGTGTGTGTGTGTGTGTGTGTGTGTGTGTGTGTGTGTGTGTGTGTGTGTGTGTGTGTGTGTGTGTGTGTGTGTGTGTGTGTGTGTGTGTGTGTGTGTGTGTGTGTGTGTGTGTGTGTGTGTGTGTGTGTGTGTGTGTGTGTGTGTGTGTGTGTGTGTGTGTGTGTGTGTGTGTGTGTGTGTGTGTGTGTGTGTGTGTGTGTGTGTGTGTGTGTGTGTGTGTGTGTGTGTGTGTGTGTGTGTGTGTGTGTGTGTGTGTGTGTGTGTGTGTGTGTGTGTGTGTGTGTGTGTGTGTGTGTGTGTGTGTGTGTGTGTGTGTGTGTGTGTGTGTGTGTGTGTGTGTGTGTGTGTGTGTGTGTGTGTGTGTGTGTGTACACCACAGTGCTATATAGCCACCCTGGCTGAACACTTTTTGATAACTACTTACTCCACATACAGTGGATAAGGAGGGCACTGCATTGATATATAATGGCATAATATCTTCATTGAATACCTCTCTATCAAAGACTTGTTACTACACATCATTCAGTGTAACTACTGTCAATGTATCATTAAGATCTAAATGCTTCACTTTTATCTGTACCCTAACACAAAAAGGCTAGTCTTCACTGGTTTTACAGACTACCACTGGGCAGAAGTGCAAAGATTAACAAGACTATGATGCTTAGTAACCTTTTTCATCAGGCAGTAAGGTATAAACCTTCAAATCTGCAATGCTGTATTCAAGCACTTACAACCGAGATGCTAAAATATCCTGGCTAGCCAAAAGCACTGCCAAACCTAGCTGATAACATGTTAGCATCATATCTTATGTATACTTATCCTGCAACCATTATGGAAATGTGAAGATATGAGTTCTTAATACTTTAACATTGCTAATTCCAATGTTTACTATGCAGTTGCACCAAAATATGCAATTATATGGAAATGTGAGGAGTTTTGAGTCTTAAGGCTTTTTCTTGAACATACCAGTACCTGTAATTCATTAAAATTAAATCTACTTCCACGATTTATTCATTCACAGGAAAGACCACTAGCTTGCCAAATTAAGAACACCAGAATAGATATTACTACTGCCGCTTTCAATCGTTTCACTTTGAAAGGCTACTAGATACAAAACTTGAAAAAAATATTAACTTTTTAAACTCTGGGTGGTTACAAGGATGCTGAACTAGTCTACTAAGCACAAGATGTGACAAGTTTTTACATGCCAAATAAAAGATCTTCACAGCAAACCTCATCCCATTTAGCATCTTATATTTATATAGTTTGTGCATAAATTTATAAAGACAGTTTGGATGAGAGCTGAAGGATGATTATTACGATACTGATAAAAATCACAGATATTAATGGCTTTTACGCCTATTTCTCTCGGACACTTCCTGTGTTATGCAAGGTGGCCCCAAGGAAAGCACTGAAGCAGCGCAGCCACACATTTTATAGTTTCTAAAAGCTGCATTTCTTGCTATCATTCACCTATATCATTTCTCTAATATACTAGAAACTTTTAAAAACCTCCAAGGGTGTTAACGCATCACCACGATGAGTATCCATAAAGTACAGTACATTGAAACACTAACTCTGGGTCATATTTCAGATATGTCAACTGCAAGCCTCATTAAAACACTAACTTTCCACAATTATTTCTACACATGACAGTTCTTAAAAAAATAAATTAAATCATGATTCTTTATGGAGACTGGCAAGAAAATGTCAAATGATTTGTTGCCATCAGACAAATCAACACACGCATGCACACTGGTGCCTGCATCAGTTCTTGGTAACTAAAGCAGAAATTATAGCATTGATACTCCAACATTTTCTTAGTTCTCATCTTGAACCGGAATATAACCATTACAATTCCCAAAAGCAATACAACAAGGCACAAATTATGTTCTCTCAAGGATCATAAGTGCATATAATGTGTTGACTGCTGGAAAAGGTTCAGCATGTTCTGTTAATACATCTGCTGCACTATAATCTGTTAAACTGCTAATATGGAATGAAAAATAAAATTTATATTACCAAAATTATACAAATGTAATGGAGGTAAACAATGTGTGATTCAATGCTGTAAACAATATTGCAAAGACCAGTTAAGTATACTCAACCTCAAATTTATGATTACACTAAATATGTTTAATTCCTATAAGATTCACGTAGGTTTTTGTGCTTGTACGATGAAAGTCTCTTGGAAGTGAACTACAGACATTCAAATTTATCTGATTAGTAGAAAAATTAAAAATTCTTCATAGCTCTAAATTAGTAATAATAATAAAAATGGGTACATTACTGATGTGCAGGGTTTTTAAGTGTTGCTAATGTGTCTCCCAAACAGGGGTTGTATAAAAAAAATTGCTTTTCATAAACCAAATACCTTTGACTCCAATTATGAAATCCCAACTGCCATTTTCCATTCATTGGTTTTTGTCTTGACAGACATTTTTCCTCACGTTCAACAGGAAAAATCACTTTATATAGCAGTATAGTAACTGTCAACACATAATACACAATTCACTTTAAAACCATACTGTACGGCTTCCTATGACATATCAGAACCAAGTGGCCAAAAGGAAAAAAATACCTTTATTTGGGGACACGTTTGAGATACTGATATATCACAGATGGTCAACATGATTCCAAAGCCATGACACAATTAAAAAAATCCACTCATTTGGGGCCTAGATAATCATCTACTGGGCTTTAAAGGAGGGTACATTTGCGTTTCCTATTTGGGGGTTTAATAGGACACAGCACAGCACGAATAGCTTCATCAAACACAGTCTTGAGTCCCTTCTGGGTTAGAGCAGAGCACTCCAAATACTTCGTGGCACCAACCTCCTTGGCCATAGACAGACCCTGCAATATACAAATATTAAACTTACCACCAATTCTCAATGATTATGTTTGGAGCTAATGCACCCTGATTAGATTGGGTTTGATTAGGTTATGTTAAATACAAAATTATGAGCACAGTTGTAGTGGATATTTTTTTTACTTAAAGAATTGCAATCTAGAAATCATCCTGACCTACCACGGATCCTGCAGTCTCTCCGAGAGACAAACCAGGGTTTTACACAATTCACCCGAGTAGGTCAGGATGATTTCCCGGTTGCAATTCTTTTAACCATGTCGTAGCTTGGTCAATTAAGGCAGCGTCTAGGATCCTCTCAGACGTAGGTTCGAACCCTCGTCACAGCCCTTGTGGATTTGTTCATTTGATGCATCACACTAATGTGATTTCTGTGTGTAATTTATGAATAGTACTTGGGAGTGGAAAATTGAGTCAAAAATGGTGAACAGGCCAGTTTGATTAATCATCCAAAACAGATTGTAAATACTTGTTATTATGGATCACAACCTAATCAAACTTCACACAAGCAAGGACAATAGACCAGTGCAACCAGCCTCAAATCCAAAATGATGAGTATTCAGCTAATTCAATTTTAATAACTTATTAACTGGACACTAATAAACAACATCCTCACAGAAATAAGTTGAGAAGACCAGCTGGATAATGCAAATCCATGTTAATGCCTTAAGATATTAGACATAGTAGCAATAGACTTACCTGTATACTCAATTCACATTCCACTAACAAATTCCACCAAGAAAAAAATTATGCAAATTGAAAAGAGAGGAGTGCTCTCTATAGGTGAAGACAATAGAAAGATAGACAATATTTCTCTTTAGAAAGCTACAGAGAAATAGGCGCAATCAAACTACATCTGCAAAATCATTTAATCCACAAGTGAAATCGAGAACCCAAAATGTTTCTCCTATTATGCAAAGTCTAATGCAAAAACCCTTTAGTATAAGTGAAATACTAAGGATACAGTATGACATTACTCCAACCTTGACTCTCGTCTTTTATATCAACCTAACTCTACTAGACTTTTGAAGAAGCCAGATAAAGCATGCTCATGCACTCTGCCCCCGGCCCAGATTCCCGAAATTCTACATTCATAAAAAATAAATGATCACACCCTAAACATCATATGGAGATGAAGCCAGGATACTGGGGTCATCCTCATCACAAACGGTGGAAATCGCACCACTCCACAAAATGGGTGGTAAAGCATATACCACAAATTATGGACCGATAGATCATACAACAAAAATCTTTGTAAGAGTGCCAAGTAGCAAGGTCAAAAAATGCATATAGTCATATCTATATAACCCTGGACAACATTTAAGTTTTATGCTTATTTTTGTATTGTATGCAAAAACAGGGACAAAGTTGACTATTTTTTTATTTATACAGCATCTGATATTAATGACAAAAGCAGCTACAAGGATTTTTTCTACAGTCCTTGCAAGGAAAATCTTATAGGTTTTTCCTACAGTTTCTGACTTTTTGAATACCAATAGACGTCTTCCACTGTGCTTAGACTATTTTCTTTAACTCTGCTTTTTGTGACAAATTGAATATCACTCACCCTACATTATCTAGCATTCCTATTGATCTCATTTCATGGGCTATCATGGTGACTTACATACTTTCACAAAGTTGCCGTACACAACATCTGCATTTTGTTTTTCCTTCTAATGCTGTTGTGATTCTGTCACAGTGGTTGAGTAATTGTGAAAGATCTAGATGTTTAGATCCAGCCTATGTTAACCTGGCTTTGTGAAACTCACTGTTCTAGATAAACTGGAGATTTGACCTATTAAATCTTTCAAATACTTTGTGAGAGTGTGAACAGTCTATAGTTTTTAGAGAATGTCAAAATACCTTAACTGTAAAAAATATAATCAAGCATCTGTCACTACTAGAAAAATGACAAGCTGGATAACAAAAACCTTTAAAACAAGGAATAATTTACCAATGATAATACTACTTAAAACATTAACGGCCCCATTGAACGCTGGAGAAGTTGTTGACCTGGAGAATATACAGAGAACTTTTACTGCTAAACCTCCTATAAGTCGAAGATCATTTTCCTCATTTGAGAGAGATGTGATGGGATGCAAAGAGACTGGTCACTGCATTCACCCCCCAGAGTCGTCAACATCATCTGATGTGAGGAGGAAAAATGGCGCTGCCAGCCGATTAGGTCCAACAAACTCCTGGATGACCAACGAAACCAAAAATAATAAAGCCACCCAAGACTTACCACCTTAATGTGATAAGGATCAATGTCCCACAGGCTCTCTCCAGATGATATTAACAGTCTGTGAAGTTGGTTTTTAGCACTTTTTTATGAACGTAGAATTCCAGGAATCTAGGTCTGGTGCAGAGTGCATGGGCATGCTGTTTATGGCTACTTCAAAGTCCAGTGGGGTTAGGGTGAATTCTGATGTATGATTCAATATTGGTATCACATTCATTAAGAATGATTGAATTATCAGTCTTCATTGTGAAAATCAACTGGAGCTCTGATGAGACTCCAACCCGCGACCGAGACTTTTCCCCCTAGCTGACTAACCACTGGACCACCCCGACTTGAAAAAGTGATAACTGGATTTTCACCGAAATCAAAATCTGAAGGCATCTACTGAAGCCAGTTCATGTTTTATATATAACCCTGAAGCACTAGGGTGTAGGCAACATAGTTCATCATCCACCATACTCTCCAACTTCAGATACGGGCTGTATCTGAATATAATACTTCAGATAAAGATACGGTCTGTATTTGAAGTTGGAGCATCATAATTTGATTGGCTTCAGTAGAGGACAGTTTCCAGACTATCAGATTTCAGTGGAAATCCTGTTACAGTGACACCTCAACTTAAGATTGCCCCTACTTACCATATTTTTGAATTACGATGTAAATTTGGTCGGAAAATGCAACTAGACTTACAATCGTGTCGTCACTTAATGATATTCATTGATACGTGTTCAGATCAACCGAGCACATGGTTCCTGGTAGCACGGGTCGACCTGCCTCAGTTTACCAGAGCCGCCCGCTCAATGACGATCACGCTTTTAAGAAATTCCATTACGGTATTTGCAATTTTTTGTTTTTTGAACATAAAAGTAATTATTATATATCTCGCCATGGGTCCCCAAAAAGTCAGTGGTAAGGTTCAACCTAAGAAAATAGTTGAGTAGAGGCAGTAGAGGATGTCCCTTCCTCATTAAGAAAATGTGTTAAGTATGGGAAGAACTGCAAAGTTTTTTTTGTAAAAACTTACCCAGATAAAGCTGTAGCAGGTCATTACATTGACCTTTTAAATGAAGATGTGATATCTCACTAAAGACAAGTGTTAAAATGTAAGGAAAAACAAGTGTCATTAGACAGATTCTTAATAAGACAAGCAAGCAGTGAGCCACAACCTAGTGGTACATTTCTGGTGGTACTTCTACAAAATGTACGAGAGAGAGTACCCCAGAGAAGTCCTCACTGCCTGATGTTATAATGGAAAGGGGAACTTCTCCTTCCAAACAGTAACACCTCTCCTCCTCCTCCTCCCCCCGCCTCCTCACCATCTTCCATATGCCAACAAGAGTTCTTGATAAAGATACAATAAACATATGTACTGTATTGTAGTTGGAGAAAAAAATTGTATTCAGTATAAAATGTATTTAAAGTTAATATTTTTGGGAGTATGGAACGGATTAATTCAATTCCCATTATTTCTTATGGGAAAATTCGTTTCAACTTAGGATGTTTCAGCTTTTCAACGACCTGTCTCTGGGAACGGATTAAAATCGTAAGTCGAGGCCCCCACTGTATACAACTTTTACAAGTCGAGTGGTCCAGTGGTTAGTGTCAGTGACTAGGAGAGTGAGGCGACTCAAACCCACGACAGAGTTCCAGAGCAATTATCCACAGCCCCTTCAGCCTATATTCACTGAACATGCTTTCTTCTGGGGTAAAAAATTACTAACCTGAGGGTACGAAATAGGAGTTAACTTCTTGTCCTTAAGTTTGTCTAAGGTTTCACGGTCATCTCGGAGATCAAGCTTCGTGCCTACCAAGATGATGGGTGTGTTAGGACAGTGGTGACGCACTTCTGGATACCACTGAAAAGTTAAATATGCACATAAGAATTTGGTACACAAATGATCATGCACTATGTATACTTTTTTCAATTTCATAGCGTAACCTATTTTGTGTACAGTGGAACCTCAATGTACAATTGCACCTGAATATCAATTTCCCCCCCCCCATGTACGATGAAAATTTTGTCAGAAAATATGCCCTGGTGTACAACGTTAGCCGAGTATGAACCGCTCGTTCATACTTGTTCGAATCAGTATGATCAGTTTACACTTGTATCCTGCCTAGTGATATCCGAACTTGAGTTCTGTAAACAATTTTATCATGTGTGTGTTTTTGGACACATTGGACATGATCTAGATCAAAATATTTTGATTGAATTATTTTCCAATGGAATAGGAATCCACTGTACACAACGGTACAGTACTGACATTTGGTGTTGCTGTTGGTACAATACAATGCATTTAAAGACATTAGCTTTCTACCTTAGTGGAGCATTCTAATTTACAAATATTCTTTTCAAATATTTCACTGGTATCTACATCACCCTACATTTGACAAATTATACTATATATTAAGAGATTGTGTGTAGGTACTGTTTCCTTACCGAGAGATACAAAGTACAGGGTGAAAATAAAATAAATTACATTTAAGGATAACCAAATGGCAGGTTCTGCCAACAAATTGAAGGCAACACCAGTCAAGAACAGGCCTTCATTACACATTACTTTAAGTTTCATTTAAGCAAATCATCATCTACAACACACTCATCCTTGTACAGAGGAGAATGTTTGAAACAGTTGACAGTGCACTTATTAAAAACTCGTGGAATACAGTTTTGTATCCGTTATTCAAAATAACTGTACGGAGCATGTCAAGACAATAAAGCCATACCTTTGCTCTGACATTCTCAAAACTGGCAGGGTTAACCAGGGAGAAGCAGATAAGAAAGACATCAGTTTGTGGATATGACAGAGGACGCAAGCGATCATAGTCCTCTTGGCCTGCTGTATCCCAGAGCCCCAGATTGATTGGCTTGCCATCTACCATAACATTGGCAGAATAGTTGTCAAACCTGGCAGGAAGAATCATAGAAGTGAAGATTCAACTGTGTGGATTATTGGATATAACTAAAGAGCCGTATTAAAAAAAATTGAGATTTCACACAATTCCATTACAAAGACACATGCTTCAAGATTCACAAAAATTATTGCCAAGTAAAATCCCTTATTTCATCCAAGTTTATATAATTCTTGACCAAACCTCTATCAACTATTTAATTCTCAATTGTGTAATGTGAAAAATTCCAACAAGACAATATAGTGTAAATGAAATTGACTTTCACACAAGATTTGTTTTTCATAAGGGCCTATTTACTTCAATACCAAGTCAATTCATTTAGCCACACATACAATGCACTATATCCATGATGAATTTCAAAATAGAATACTTGTATCCATTAAACACGTTACCCCCTTTTACCTTCCTCTGCGTTAAACCAGTGTTGAATGTACTGTAATGAAACATTTTCTGGGCGAGACCCAGAGGCTCTCCGGAGCTAGCCCGGCTGATATGAATGTATTAGACCCTGGCATCAGTAAACGTACATGGAGTTCTTGACCTACAGGGGACCACATGACAGAACCTTGCCCCCTTGGAGGCACGAGGAGCAATGGCCTATAGAAATCGTATGGTTGGAAGCATTATATGTTTGCCATCGAACGGGTCAGGTACCCAGAAAGGTAAGCGCTCCAAAACTAACCCCTATTCTGGTTAAAATTGTGCTACTGAAAGCCGAAGTAGTGGACAGAACTCTGCAAATGAAAACGAGCAAGCGAGCACGACGTCACCATGCTGATGTCTGCGCAATCCCCCCCCCCCTCCCCGGGAGGGGGAAGGGGGAGCCCCCCAAACCCCCACACCAGCTATCCACTCTGCAGTTCTGAGGCTGAATGTCAAAACCGCAAACAAAAAATTTTGACGGGAGGGGAGGGAGGGAGGGAGGGATACCGGGGAGCCTCCGGATCTCACCCAGAGAATGGGGTTTCATTACATTCAATGCTGGTTTTCTGGGGGAGCCCCTTCGACTCCCCGGAGCTACTTACCCAAAGACAAAACAAGAGGGACTTAACCCAGGAGGCAGGCAGCCTTCACTCCTCAATGTGAAGTCAAGACAACTGGCTGCAACCGCCGACACAATGTGACACAGGCCCGACTAGGCCCAGGAACATTAAGGTAGCGAGCGGCCAGGACCATATTCAACCTTCAAAAACCATACCCGAATGTCAGCCTAAGACATGCAACCGAAGACGGCAGCCAGCGCAGCAAACTTGGGATCATCATGGGCATGAGGATAGACCGCAAGACGGCTGGACCGAATAACTCTGCAGACAACCTGGGAGACCTGAACCCTGGAATAAGAAAGAATGAATACTGGGTCAACCCAAAGCACGTCCCCGGTCACCAAGGTCGTGGTGCTCATATAATGGAGTCGCAACCGGACAACACACAATGCACCCCCTGGCCTGACCAACTAAGATTTAAACAACCCAAGGATCCCTCCAGAGAGCAAGTCTTATTCTTCACCAGAAAAGAAGGAGACGGCTGCAAATGAACAAACCTACCACCAGGACCAAAAGAGCAGAAACCCCTGTGCTGGAGGAGAGCATGAAGTTTCCCAACCCGATCCCCCAGAGGCCAATGTCAACAAGAAAAGAGCCTTCGCCAAACAATCCTGAACCAAAGGGGCCACTACAAACCGAGGAGAGAGATAGGAGAACAGCAGGTCCAACGACCAAGATGGCCCAGGCAGCACATGAGGCGGCCAGAGGTGAAACATTGCACAAGACAGCTTTTGGAACGGGACAGAAGTAACATCCACCCCGAATGCAAGCTGAAGCGGCTCCGCCAGCGTCGCACGATATGAGGTAACAATATTCAGCATAAGATGACTATCCTGGAACAACCACAAAAGGAAGGAGAAGGCAACCCTATCAGACACTGAAGTAAACCTATGAAGGGATAAGAAATAACTGAAGGACCACCGGGAAACTTCATACTGCCGCCGAGACGAAGCATGCAGGTGGGACACCAACAACAAAGTCACCTGATCACCATACAAGTGGTGATACACCCACATCAGAAAAACCAGACAAAGACTTTAGGGGAAGATCGAACCAGCCATGTAACGGACTGTCCCAACCTGCTGAAAGAGGCGGAGCTGCAGGAAGACCCTCTGATTCGGACACTGAGCAAACAGTGCCTGAAACCAAAACTGGGCCGGCCACCAAGGACCCAAAAAAACTACTCTTATGGTAAGTCTCCAAGCGCACTAGACCCTTGAGCCACAGCAGAAACAGGGGGGGGGGGGAGTTACAAGTAACCCCACCTCAACCAGTCCTGCCTGAAGGCATCGACCCCGACGGCCCTCGGAGTCTGGGAAGGGCGCCACATATACCGGAATACACCTCGACCACGCCGACGCAAAGAGGTCCACCTCCGGGAGCTCGTACATCCGGCAGAGCCAACTAAACGAGTCTGCGTTGACCATCCATTCCATGGACGGGGGAATGAACCGACAGGCTGTCTGCCAGGACGTTGGACACTCCCCGAACGTGAACGGCCAGAAGAGCCAAACCCTGAGAACTCAGCAGACGAGTCACCCAAGCGACCAGCCCCAAAGAGCCCACCCTAAGACAAGGATACAGAGCAACCTTCAAACTCGCATGAAGTGAGAGGGGACCCAAGGGTCACACCTATTGGACCAAAGATCCCTGCAGGGTTTCCCAGGGCCCTCAGTCGCATTATCTTGCTAAGGGTAGCCCAGGCAGGATACTGCTAACCAGCACCCAAAAACTATCAAGCAAACTGCTAAAGCTGAACCCCCCGGACATGTACACTCACGGGAGTCTAGCGGAGGACCATCAAGATACAAAAGGGTGTGACCAAATCAAGGGGGCAGACCCTCCCCCCCACCAGGCAGGGAAAACAAAATGTAAAATAAAACCCCGCAAAAGGACAACGTGCCTAGGCGGAACAGGGCCAGCCACTGAAGTGAAAACTAGCTGCACAGTACCCTGTGCCCCAACCAGTGATGAAAACTAACCCCTACCCAGAGGCAAACAGAGGTGTATGAAACACCCCAGCTGGCTCCAAAGAGTAGGCAATCACCGAGCAACAAAAGACCCAGCAGAGGTAGATCCCAAGATGACTTGTGGAAGGTGGCCCTAAGCCCCAAGGGCAGTACTTACAGGGAACCTAGGGAAGAAAACTTTAGGTGCATGCAGCCCGAATACTTGTGAAATTACTTTTGGCTTGTGCACCACCTATACCTGGTTGATACCTGGTTGATGGGGTTCTGGGAGTTCTACTCCCAGCCCGGCCCGAGGCCAGGCTCGACTTGTGAGAGTCTGGTCCACCAGGCTGTTGCTTGGAGCGGCCCGCAGGGCCACATACCCACCACAGCCCGGCTGATCCGGAACTTCTCTTAGAAAACCGTCCCGTTTTCTCTTGAAGATGTCCACGGTTGTTCCGGCAATATTTCTTATAGTCGCTGGGAGGACGTTGAACTACCTATCAGACAGAACCCTACCACAAGGCACAGAACTGGAAAACTCAGGAGCTAGACAGAACCCTACCACAAGGCACAGAACTGGAAAACTCAGGAGCTAGAGGCACACTACTTTGCTAGTTTCACATCAGCCACAGAACTGCAGGGTGGATAACTGCCACAGGGGTCTGGGGCTCCCCCATCCACCTCCCAGAGAGAAGGGGAGGGGGGGGGGGTGCAGACAGTGTTGCGGCGACATGGTGACGTCATACTTGTTTGCTCGTTTTCATTTGGAGAGTTCTGTCCACTAGTTCGGCCCTCAGTAGCAATATTTTAACCAAAATAGGGGTTTGTTTTGGGGCACTTACGTTTCTGGGTGCTTGACCCAGTCAATGGCAGACAGGATGTTTCCAACCACACGGGGTTTCTATAGGCCATTGCTCCTCGTGCCTCTCTGAGGGAGCCAGGTTCTGGCTCATGGTCCCCCTTTACGCCTAGAATTTCATATGCATTGACTAATGCTAGGGTCTAATATATTCATATCAGCCCGGCTAACTCCGGGGAGCCGACGGGACTTCCGCAGAAATTAAAGCTTGCGTAAACACGTACATTTATAAACAGACGCCTGAATGCACTGTGACACCCAGATACACACAGAGTATACAATTTATCTAAACACTACATGATCCTCCCCACACTTGAGGGTCGAACCATAAAAAAAATGCATCACATGACCAACAATGCACAGCAGAAATTTCCTATTGTTGTATATTTACATTGATATGTACATGGACATTGCACACCTATCATAACCACTAAAATGTCAAAGCATTCTTCATCTACAGTATTGCTATCCTCAGATGGTCTTGGTTCAGTGCGGCCACCATCATCAGCAACAAAGAAATAATGTCTGACTAGTCAACCTCTTCAAAAGGGAACTTAACATTGTCACACAGTTCCCCAGCATAGCAGAGGAAACCGTCTCTTCCATCTTACCTTCGTTATTCACCAACCTACATACCTCGTACTACGACTGGTATGGAGTTCAACCTAGTCACAGACGGACACCACCATCAGTACACCTTCCAATCCACCCCAGGGGTCCCAGGCAAGTTTTCGACCTCCAGACTTGCTGGTTCCTCATTACGTCCATAAACTACCAGTTATGCCTCCAGTTCCTTGTTACATCTATAAACTACCAGTTACGCCGCCAGTTCCTAGTTCCAAGCCTCGGTGACAAAGGATGTGATGTCACCGTCAAGGGTATAAATACCTGTGACCTCGGTCAATTCATCAGTCTCAAGTGCTCAGGGAATTAACATTATGACCTCAATGCGATACTTTCCTCCAGCTGCTTCATGTACAGGTTGTAGGGGTTTATGTAAATACTTTGTGTTAACATAAGTGTTTATGTATTTGTGTTATTATTGTTTGTGTTAGGCAAGTTTGTCAAATCAGGGATGGTGTGAATTTCGCACGTTATTTGTTCATTTTGATATTAAAGTAAATTGTCATAATTTTTTGTCCGAGTTTTCTTCACTCTTGTGCAATTTTTACACTGCAAAGGCCAATGCATATTTTGTTTTTTTAATTTAATGAGAAGTGTGTGCCTAATTCCATCTGCCACTCAAGTACACTACAGTATTTTTTTTGTGTGTGGGGGTGGAGGAATAAGGAGAAAATTAGCGAAAAGTGAATAGATTCTGATAGGCAGACCAGTTTTTCCTTTAAAAATTTAAAACAGATTTACCCTTTTTTTTTTAATATATACAGGGTATATGTGGTGTCTTTCCATAGTGTAATCATATACAGTACAGATCAATGACCTACTATATCTTCAATACATTTAAGAAACCCCTTAATTCTAGCAGCTCATGGAGCACTGAAAAAACATTAATATTTTGTCCAAAGTGCTTTAACTAGATCAGTTGGCACAAAGATAAAATGACTTGTGAAGTCTAAGACAGTACAGTACCAGTACTGGGGCGAGGGTGAAAGTCTAACTTGTACAGTATTTGCAAGTGACATGGCTCAAACAATCAACCCTCCATTATACAGGAATGATGGAGAACGCACTGCAGAATAAAGATAATTTACAGAACACTGCTGAGTATTATACTGTTGGTTACTTTATTTAAATACCTTGGGCCAATTGCCTCACCAATAAATGCTCTTACAAAGTAATTTAATAAAATAGTAATTTTGTAATTTGCTGAATAATTGTTTTCCATACCATAACCTTTAGCAGTTATGTTAAGTGCATAACAATGATATCTACACTAAAAGGGCAACACCGTATAAAATACTGAAGTTTAAATTTGTATTAAATACACAGTACTGTATATAGTGTACAGGTACATAATTTTCTATCCAACACTTATTGGCTTATTATCAATACAAGACAATACAGAACATCAAGAGTAATAACAAATTTATTAGAAGTATAGTGTAGAACAATTTACAGTAATATGTAATAGAAATAATGAAGTATTACCTTAAAAATTTAGATTGTTTCAAAAATTCCAAAGTGACATTTTTAATCATGATACAACTCAAAAATTTGGAAGTGGTTAAAAGCTTCATGTGCCTTGTGAATAAAATAACCAACAAATTAAAAAAAAAAATTCATCAGGTACTGAATGAGAACCTGCATAAAAATTTAGATGACATTGCCTGCAAGGGTTTCAGTAAATTTGATTTGATGAAGCCTAAGAAACCTCACCACGCAACCCGCTCTCGCACAATATAGTACACACACATGACTTATTGCTTATAGTCAATATTTGGCATATTAATAAGTACATGTGTCGTATATTTCAAGTTATATTGTGTTTAAGGTACAAACTCTTTCTACCGATTTTCAATACACCAGTTATAATAATAGGAATTTCTTTCAGCTTTATTAAACAATAGAGATTTTATACAAAATTTGACAATATCCTCAGTTACTTTACAATTTATTTAAATATTTTAGTTTTGTTTTATTATTTTTATAAAACTGTAATATCAATATAGGTACAGTATAGGTTAAGTACTAATTGTAATTAAGAAGCAATAAGATGCTTATCTTAACATACTAAGAAGGTTAGGTTAGGTTGGTGTTTTCTATTCAGCTTTTCAAGGTAAACTCAAATATTCACAATAAATTAGTATGTCACATATGCACATTAATAAACCAAATATTGACTATAAGCAAGTGCGAGAACGGGTTGCAACACCGTTGTGAAGCCAGGCCTCGCAACCCCTCATCCACACCCTGAAACTTTCTAGGGCCCTGAAAGCAAAGTCAGATTCCTATGGCTGTATCAATTTGGGAGGAATCAAACAGGAGTGGCAAAAACTTTCAGACGAAGAAAATTCTGATCATATAGTTTTAAGCCAGAGAAAGAAGAAATGAAATAATGAATAGAATGCAATAAATTTGGTAAAAACTAATTATATTTTAAACTAATTTTTTGGTAAAAACTAAGAGTTTTTGATGTTAGAAGATGATGATGTTAGAAGTTAGGAAGGCTTATGTCTGTTCATGAATAAAGTGTGTTATGAGGCAATGAATATCTTATGGCATTGCAGTTCAAGGTATTTGTTTGTGAAATTTAAGTTTGAATGAGTAATGTAAAGTTCTGTGCACGACTTCTGAAGTGTGACAGTAGTTCATTCATATCTTTTGAAATGTAAAGAATGCAATCAACAAGTGATTGATTATTTAATACTGTACAATATACAAAATTTATATGATTTGCCTTTTTTTCATTGGGCTGATGCCTCCAAAATCCAATGGAAGTGGCGAAGTAGGATAATGATATGAATGTATGAAAGCAGCCAATGGATAGTTTGCTTTCCGAAATAGAATAACAAACGTGTACTGCACAGACGGTAAAATGTGTAGGATTACTGGGGCCTTCTCAAAGCACTCAAAATTTTAACTCTAGAAAGGAGACAGAGGTATCAATGTGTACTGTACATGAAAGGTAATCTAGGCCATATATCAAATAAGCACTATAAAATTACTTTCTGGAGCAAAGGATATAGTAGGAAATGCAGAATAGGCAGTGAGGAGTAGAAGTTCCATGAGAACAATTTATGAAAACTGTATAATCAGAGGCTCCAAGTTCTTCAACCAACTGTACATTCGCAAATTAAGAAATCATGCAGGGACAAAATGGAATGTTTTCAAGAAGCAATTGCATGAATCCCTGCAGGAAGTTAGTCTAGATCAGCAGAGTTGTGATTGATGTGTGGGCCTGCAAACTGCTCCAAGCAGCTCAACTGTTTAACTTATCAGCAGACAAGCCTAGACCCAGACTGGGCTTAGGGAGTAGAAAAACTTTATAACTAGACATGGATATACTATGTAGCTTACACACAAAACATTACCTTCAATAGTCTATTCCTTAACAAGCAATGTCATCACTATATTTAACCTCCAATAAATACTATACAACCACTAATTGTGTTCCTGTATATTACCCATACACCAAGTAGACACACACACTCAAGTTTATCAAGCAGTTGATATTAAAGTGGCTCTTTACTACTACTACAGCTACAAAAATAACTATACTTTAAGCATAATTGTACTGAACATTTTAAATAAAAGCAGGTAACAACAAGAGTGAAATCTACACTGAAGACACATGCCACTTACAAACTTCAATGACAATACCAGCAGAAATACCTGTGAATACTATAAAAGCAACTACATATTAAAGAATTACAAATAATTATTTAATCAATATTTGCATTATAATTTTTTTTTTTTTAACTTTCTAAAGATTCTGATGCTGCCACTGAAGGCATGTTGCATTTTCTTCCAGTAGCACACAATGTTTTTGTACTAGTGCACTGGAATTTATTACTCAACTCTTTTGGCCTATACACCTTCAACCTATGCAATTAAACACTGGGTGATACAAGATAAACACACCTTTTTATACCTCCAATACTAATATAAAACTGGACCACACCCGGTGGATACTCACACTGTCGGGATGTATTCTCCAGGGAAGGCATTGGTTGTGTAACTGATGAGCAGACACGTCTTACCCACGGCTCTGCAAAGACAGCGTTAATGAGAAACTAAAAAAGGTCTCCAAAAAATAAAAATGATTGAAAAATTATGAAAATGAACAATTGCCAAATTCATTACAAGATTAGCATGTATGCCTTTGATTGACCTTATTATATTTGGTTCAGGGTCAAAGAACTTATGGTTAACTACTTGAATTTTGAAGGAAACAAAGTTAAAAGAAAATGGTGTAATCTTGTGTTGAGATAAGCAATTTATTTAGCATATACTAATTCGATTATTGGTACACAAGCCCAATAATAAACTTAGGTTATAAATATGTATATACAGTATACTGTACATATATATACACACACACATACATAAACTTTTATATTATATTTAAAAAGTTGTATATTTATATACAGTATTTTAAAATATTTAAAAAGTCGTGTGTGGTGTGTTAAGCTAAGATGTGTATAAAAAGATTGTGGGTAATATTCAAGTACTGTATAAATATATGTTTTTGGATGGAGAAATACTAAAGAAAGTGTTCACAACTTTTGTTAGACCAAAGCTGGAATATGCAGCGGTTGTATGGTGCCCATATCTTAAGAAGTACATCAACAAACTGGAAAAGGTGCAAAGACATGCCACTAAGTAGCTCCTAGAACTGAAGGACAAGAGCTACGAGGAGAAGTTAGAGCCATTAAATATGCAAAAACTAGAAGATAGAAGGTAATGTGGCGATATGATCATTACATACAAAATAATAACAGGAATTGATAAAATTGATAGGGAAGAATTCCCGAGACCCAGAACTTCAAGAACAAGAGGTCACAAATTTAAACTAATAAAACAAAGCTGCAAGAGAAATATAAGAAAATTCACTTTTGTAAACAGAATGGCAGACAGTTGGGACAAGTTAGGCGAGAAATTGGTGGAGGCCAATGTGAATAGCACGCTGAACACTTAATCCTGTGGCCTGGGTTCGATTCCCGGCGCTAGCGAGAAAAAAAAATGGGCAGTTTCTTTCACCCAGATTCCCCTGTTACCTAGCAGTAAATAGGTACCTTTGAGTTAGACAGCAGTTACAGGCCGCTTCCTGCATGGGGACGGGGGGGAATTAGTGGTTAGTAACAGTTGATTGACAGTTTAGAGGCAGGCCAAAAGAGCAGAGCTCAACCCCATAAGCACAACTAAGTGAATACAGTATAAATGAATATGAATAAGCTTGGGGTGGATATAAATAGGTGCTGCCTCATACTGGCCAAAGTAAGACTTTTGTTGTTTCCTTTATTTTAATGTTAAGTTCAGTCTCATTGTTAATGTACTTTCAGTCAAGAAGTCCATTCTACGTTTTTCAGTAGATTTTGTCACCAATAATTCTTGCCCCAGTACAACTAACATAATACTAGCACACCCCCCCCCCTTTGCTTTTCATTTAAGTAGTGTAAATGTAAACATGTACAAAACATCAAGACAAACTTTATTTATCCTCTTGACTAATACTGTTCATTTTGCAAGGGTGATATACTGCTTATCCCAGATAAGCCTCAGTAATAAGGGCAAGGTAGTCTTGTGGCTACCTTGTGTAGCCGTCCGTGGATCAACGACCCCATGGCCCAGTCTCCGACCAAGCCTCCCAGTTGGTTGCCTGGTCAAGCAGGCTGCTTCTTGTGTGAAGCATAAAACGTTCTAAATCTGTGTTCAGATTTGGAACCAGTCCCTCTAATATCTTCCAAGTGTAGATTATGTATATCTCGCCTGCACTCTTAGAGAATACAGATTTAGAACTTTTAGTCGGTCCATATAATTAAGATGATTTATAGAGTGGATTCAAGCCGTAAACTATCTTTGCCGTATCTTAATAAATTTTTATGCCAAATCTGCAGTCAACAGAGTCCCTTATCTAGGTTGATTGTTGAGAAAACCCAGCGACAAATGAATGTTACCAATCACTGCCTATTGGAAAACACACTTCAGGGCAAAGTCTAGCATAAAACGGAACAAGATTTATGTTTAAAATTGACCTTAGCTCTTCCAACAATAAGCACTATCACAATCTGCCTCATATGCCAGTTGATTGACAGTTGAGAGGCGGGACCAGAGAGCCGAAGTTCAACCTCCACAAGCCCAACTAGGCGAGTATATTCAATAAACCCTTCCTCATTCGGAAAAGAATCGGAAACAGAAACTGTCCCAACTTTTAAAACCATCTAATTCCTGCTACTCCCCCTCTGAAAATGCTACATTCATCACTCCCCCAAACTACCAGTTATGACAACTCACCCCGACCCCGTCTCCCCAAACAGATGTTACACACGCATCTCTTCCATAAAGACTTGATATTCTGCCTCCTCCACCCCCGACCCCCCGGGCAAAGTGCCGCTGGACATGTGTGACCTATCGAGATACAGAGGGCACACAACCTCCACTCCCGCCTGGAGTTTACCTGGAAATGCCTTCAGGGAAGACCTGTCTGCTATTATCTCCCCCTAGGCCACTCTCGCCCCGCTCCTCCGTCGCCCAGGGTCTCCTCTCTTTGTATCTACTATATTAAATTTTAAAAACTTTAGTTATCATCAGGTAGACCAGCTACCTATGAGTTGAACAGAGAAAGTACACTCCGTATATCCATTGGTATACCAATTACATTATTATTTGCTAGCAACATTATGTGTACAATTATTTTGTTCGAAGTCAAACACACACATTTTACCGACATCAATGAAAAATTCATACCAATTAGGTATTTTTCCCCTCTCGCCTGCAGGCCTGTCAGCGCTTCAGAACATTAAAATACGTCCCTATGTAAATTCCTCTATCTAATTTGTCCCCTACTTTCAAACTCAACTACACTAACGACGTTAGCAAATTTCAATATACAGCAACACTGATCAAAACCGAAGCCGAAAATCCCATCATTATAGCTTGAATTGGAAGGTATACACTACTACCTCATATCATCGCACATCGTAATGAATGGCACGAGGCTTTATACTCGCTCCACATCGCCTCTAAGCTGAAATATACACTGCCTTCAAATAGTTAAATCTTAAGAAACTACTGTACATTGATTATTCTGGAATCTATTGTGTGTTCAACTATTATTAACGATACAAATATTAACGAGAGGAGACGCATGAAGGGGGTTGGGGAGGTCTACAGGCCCCACCCCTCCTTCACTAAACAAGTGGGGGGGGGGGTCTCAACAGGAACCAACTGTTAATTATCTCAGATGATGTCTAAGCCAGTAAAACTAAATTATTCGTATTCTTACAGTCGAGATGATATTGATATTTTGCTTCAGCCGCCACAAGACGAAACATACATTGGAACATTAACAGTAAACAGAGAAAAGGAAAGAAGAGGCGACAAGGAAGAAAAGAGTGGGGGAAGGAAGTAAATATATAACAGAAACCACATGTTTGCTACTCTAATGCTTGTTGGGAGAGTATTGAACAGCTGTGGACCTCTCGTGTTCAGATAGTGCTCTTGCGCCTATGGCACTTCTATTCCTCACTGGTTCTATTCTGCATTTCCTTCCATATCTTTCGCGCCTGTATATTATTCTACTGTGCAAGCTTGGGACCAGGCCTTTCAGTACCTTCCATGCAAATATTATTTGATACATCTCTCGTCTCCTTTCCAGAGTACACGTTGAGAGCTTTGAGACGGTCCCAATAATTTACGCGCTTTATTGTGTGTATGCGTGTCGCATATGTTCTCGTCTTCCCTCTTTTTGTCTAAAATCTCTCCTGCTCTGAAAAGGGAAGTACATAGTAGTACTCAAGGTGGGACAGCACCAGTAATTTAAATAGTATTAACATTGCTACGGGACCCTTTAATTTGAACGCTCTCATAATCCATCCTATCATTTTCCCTTGAAAAGCAAAGGTGCTTAATACCTGCTTGATGCAATAGGGGCACCGAGAGATCTGACTATCAAAGGCCCTAAATTTTTCAACGCACTCCCTCTACACACAAGGGGCATGGTCGACCTCCCACGGTGTTCAAGAGGGAACTCGATAAATACTACCAAAGGATACCTACTCAACAAGGCTGTGATTCATATATCAGGCTGTGAGCAACTGCATCTAACATCTTGGATGACCAGACAGAGAAGCCTGGTTAGCGACTAGGCTGTGGGGGGGGGGGTGTTAATCTCCAGAACCAACAACAGGAGGTAGACATGTAGCTGGCTCAACCAAATTGGTATGAAAAATGTGATTATCTAGCAAACCTTGCCATAACTAAGTTCTGTATCCTTATTGAGGGAACTATTTTAATCACCTTCGTTATTTTGTTGACGTAATAAGTCATTTTCACTACCAACCCAGAGTTCTTGTAGGAAAGCACTGCCTCGAGTATGGCACATATGCTACCATGGCTGAATAAACTTCACACTAACGTAAGAAACTGCAGTTATGAAACTCGAAATAAACTTTCAATCAACTACGCGACTTTTATTTCAAGTATGGTGCCAGAGACCAAGCCTCGGGACACTGATCCCCTGAACCAACTCTTATACCTACCTTAAAGGTACCATATTTCTTTGTGTGGGATTTCATCAATAAACTGCTTAAATTACAGACAAAATAGAGCATGTATTGTTATTAAACAAAATACTTTATTCATTTATCCAGGTTTTTGAGATTTTTTTTTAGGATCAAGTGACAACGACGCAGACAGAGCTACAGGGGTAGAGAAAACTTCCTGGGACCACCAGCAGCCAGACAAGCTCTGGGGTAAAAGATATATACACACGAGGTAATGCACGAGCTTACAAGCGAGGGAACAGAGGTTTAGATAGGATGCAAGAGTGAGCTCTACCCACTGGCGGTGGGAGCATACGATCACTCTAGCTCCAGCCTGGGAGTGAGAGGAAGCTTATCACCGGATACGTGATAAGGAAGCCTCTCCTAAAACACACTTGTTTATACATGAACTAGGGGGCGCTTTGAAACCGTGAGGGACATGTTCCTTTTCCCTTGGGTGCTGTGTTGTTTCAAAACAAATGTAACTGCCACAAGTAAAAAAGCT